GTGAAAACTAGGAGATGGAGTAAGTGAGCCACTGGAGGCATGCTTTGAAAAGATAACTTGTCCCCCTCTTTCCCTTTTGCTCCTGCCAGCCATGAAGTTTGTTTCCCTGCTCTATTATGTGATCCCTACCATACACTGCCTCCACAGATCCATAAGTGATAGAGCTGACTACTATGGTCTAAAACTTCTGAAGCTGAGAGCCAAATGAAATATTTCTTCCTTTAAATTGTTTCTCTCGGACACTGTCAAGCATAGTCATCTTTCAGCCCACTGGCTAGATCCTTGGTTAGAATATTATGCCTGCAATAGTGTAAATAGTAAAGTCTTTTCTATAAAACCAATAGAAAATACAAAATTGCTGGTAAAGGATTCTACACCATGAAAGGCCAGCAGTTTAACTGCTCAGTGGAAGTTTCAAGTAGCTTTGAATGGGCTTCTGAATGCAGTGAAGTGGAAGATACCAGGAAATACTGGCTGGCTCAAGCCAGCTTTCCCACTGACAGGGAGCCCTTGCCATCTGAGGGTCAAACATCATTCATGCCTGCCAACCTTTAGTAACTAATTTATGGTCATGTTTTGGTTCACTTCATAAAAGTTAAAGGTCAACTGAAATGCAGGAATATGCCTTTCTTTTCCCCACCACTATTTTCCCCTTATACAGATAAGGTAGCACTACTAACTTCCTTAAAACTGTATATAAAGCCATATCCTACTACAACTATGACGATAGTTGGACAAGTTAAAATAGAAACATGAACTTCAAGACTATGTATACAGATGAAGCAATTCAAAACTCTTAGTTTACTGTGTGAAAAATAAGGTTTTCAGTACCAATGACCCTTGCCTGAGCTCAACAGATTCAGTATGTGACAGGAGACAATGAGACCAGAAAGTAAAACTGATGTTGGGCTTCTGTGCACAATACCAAATATTCCCCCCTCCAGATTGGAAATATATTTGTCTCTGAATCATCTCATACTGTCACACCCATTTTTAGATGTCAATTTTCCACTTCAAACCCTGTTTTATTCTTTCATTCATTTGAGAGGACAGTAATCATTATTTTACCTACTATTTGACAATGGGTATGCTTTATTCTGTCAAGTTAAAAAAAATAGCAACAAGCAACTTACATAGCTCCCAGTTCTTATTTAGCAAGCTCATTTTTATAGTACTTATATTGCACCAGGAATTTAGTCAAGAATTTCACAAATGATGACACATTTAATTCTTTTAAATCAAAAATCAACCACATGGAGGCAAGTGTTACTAAAATTAGAGTTTACAACACTAGGGAGACAGGATTGTTAGACTTTGTTTTTTCAGGCTTAATGAAGGATGGCCTTCATTCCTCAGATACTCCCCCTACTTTGGGGTGTTGAGTTTAAAAGCCAATTGGATTTGGGGTGAAGAACATGAAGGAGAGCCCACATTTTCATAGAGATTATGATGCCCCCTCCCCTTGGTGAATCAAAATTCCATCATTTGCTGGTATCCATTACACATACATAACACATACATAATATATATACCCAACATAAATGTGTGTATATATCTATGTAAAAACATGCACAAGAAATGTTTACAAAGACATTTGGTTTAGCGTTCTAAACCTGGAGTATCCTCAATGCCCATGAATTATGGAATATTTACAATGGAATATTCTATAGCAACAAAAAACTAGTGATACACACAATAGCATATATGAATATCACCAACATACTGTTGAAATCCTGAAGCCAAACACAAAAGAGTATGTTGTATGATTACATTTATGTGATGTTTAAGGACAAGGAAAACTAATATATGAAGATAGAGGTTGCAATATTGGTCGCCTATGGAGAAGCAGAGAATGTAGACAAAGCTGAACAAGAAACTTCTATGGTGATTTTTTTATTTTGGAAGGGGTATTGCTTAGATGTGTATATTCATTTCTCAAATTCATCAAATTAAATATTCAAAATCTATACATTTTCATTGCTTGCAAAATTTTTATCTTATTTTAAGAGGAATAACTTTACATAGGTTACAAGATTCTGGGAAAATATGGGCTCCTGTTTTGCTGCTGTCTTAAAGATGCTGCCAGTGATATATCAGCAATATGAAGCTTAATACAGCTGCTGAAAAAAAGAACAGCCTCTGAAACTGGGAAACCAGATGCAGTAATTCTCAGCTCATTTGGAACACTTACTTTACATATTTCTTATTTGAAGATGTTATTCATTGGAAGACTTGTGAGTCCACACTAGAAGCCCCTAGCTATCACACCAAGATGCATATATTTCTAAAATAATCTTCTGTATTGATCTGACATAATAATGTAAGAATAATGTAAGTGACAGCTTGCTTACTGGGGGCAGAAAAGAATGTATCTTGGCATGATTCTTAAAATATTTATTTTTCCCTATATATTATCAATGGAAGAAGAAAAACAGTAGAAATAAGACGTTTAGACACCTGGGATCTTTGAGAGGCTGAATGTGAAACACTGTTTGTCTTGCAAATTCACAGTAGTCATGTTTGGATGGCCACTTAGCTAGAAACTACATGTCTTACTTAGGGTTTCTATTGAAACACTGTGACTAAAAAGCAGGTTGGGGAGGAAGAGGCTTATTTGGCTTACACTTCCTCATTGTTGTTCATTACTAAAGGAAAGTAGGAGAGGAACTCAAACAGAGCAGGATCCTGGATGCAGGAACAGATGCAGAAGCCATGGAGGGGTATTGCTTGCTTCCATCGCTTGCTCAGTCTGCTTTCTTCTAGAACCCAAGACCACCAGCTCAGGGATGGCACCACCTACCACGGGCTGGGCCCTCCATCAATCACTAATTAAGAAAAGGCCTTACAGCTGGATCTCATGAAAGCATTTTATTAACTAAGGTTTCTCCCTCAAGATGATCCTAGCTTGTGACAAGTTGGCACACAAAACCAGGCAGTACATTTTCCAGCTTCACTTGCAGCAATATGGAGTCAACTGACTTAAGTTCATATCAACAGAATATAAAAGCAGTAGCAACTCACTTGTATTGACTAATTTTATGTTATCTTGACACAAACTAGAGTCATCTGAAAAGGCAGAATCTCAACTGAGAAAATGTTTCCAGGTCAAACTGTAAACAGGCCCATAGGGCATTTTTTTTTTAATTAGTGATTGATGGGCGAGGGCCCAGACCATTATGGGTGATGTCATCCCTTGGGTGGTGGTCCTGGATGCTATAAGAAAGCAGACTGAGCAAGCCATGAGGAACAAACCAGTAAGCAGCACTCTTCCACGGCCTCTGTATCAGCTCCTGCCTCCAGGTACTGGCTCTGTATGAGTTCCAGTCTTTACTTCCTTCAGTGATGAATAGTAAGCCAAATAAACCCTTTCCTCCCAAAGTGGCTTTTGGTTATGTTTTTTAGCACAGCAATAGTAACCCCAACTAAGACACCATTTTAAAGAAAATCCCTCATTTACTTTTCTCCTCTGGTAGCATGCATAGCACCTTTCCACACTAGGAAAGATATCCTGCAAGGATAGAGTTTCCAGGTGAGTAACAGCTTGAGTTTTTCATGTTCTGTGAATCAAGTATGTGGTGTCATCAGAACAGGGTCTTGCCATCAAGATCTGTAGGGTAACCAATAGCATTGGCAATCACCTGTAATGTTGGGGGTCTATGAAACCTTACTGGCCAACAACTCCAAAAGAGGCAACCCATTCCTAGCATGGGGCTTTTTGTTAGCCTATAGTGCCTAGTAGAGGCACTATTGCCTCATTATAGTGACTCAGTTTCAACTCCTTCTTTATGAGTATGTGTATATGCACATACATACATACACACATGTACACACATAAATACATGTATATGCATTGTATACATGTACACACACACACACACACACACACACACACACACACACACACACTTGATCTAGCAAAACATCCCCAGTGATACAATACTTTCATGAACATCATGGCAGTAATAACCACTTTCTGACTGGATTTAAGCCTGGTCCAGAAGATGAAATCCATACTTGGGACCATTATCAGGCCAAGAACTTGTAGTCCTATGGTATAATCTACTATTATTCTATTAAATGAACATAGTACTAAACTGATTTCTAATAACATAGTCACAGATTAATGTATGTCTCAACCATCATCAGAGAAACTTCTATTTGTGGTAGATGGTGATTAACAAACACCCACAACTGGTCAAGGTACAAAGAATAAGAGATTGTGGAATAGTCAATCCTAAATGGAACATATATACTAAACCACCTCTTCCAGAGGTTCCAGAATCACTGCAGAAGAGCATACAGAAAGAATGTAACATCCAGAAGTTGTGAATGACTACAAGGAAACTGTTTTCTAGACCCATCAGTGCAATTCCACAAATGAACTTGCAATGGCTGTAACAACATACACAAGACCTGTGCCAGACAATATCTCAGCATGGAGAGGTGAGATGGGCATGAAGTCTCACCCCTACCCAATGAGCTATTAGCAATTGTTAGTGTAGGGAGAGGGAAAGTCAGTTTTCTTTAAAAGTGTAGCCCCTGGCAGGTCAACTGCACAACCAAGAATATACAGGCATCACAAACTTGATGAGTTTTAAAACATAGGGATACAAATTTGGGTGGAGCAGTAAGAGGGGTGTATCTGGAGGTAGTTTTGGGAGAGAGATCAATGTAATCAAAATACAATATACAAAATGCTGAAAGAATTAATAAGAGGGAAGGAGGAAATCACTTGCCTCACACTTCCTTCTTGTCCCTGTCCCATCAGTTGCAAACGTAAGAGTGGCAGTGAACTAGCTTCAATTATGCAGATGTCAACATTCTAGGGCAATGGTTCTCAATCTTTCTAATGCTGTGACCCCTTAAATATTGTCCCTCTTGCTGTGACCCCAATGTTATTTTGTTGGTATTTCATAACTACAAATTTTGTTACTGTTATGAATCATAATGTAAATATATGATTTGCAGGATATCTGATATACAACCCCTATGAAAGTCATTCAATTCCTCAAAGGGTTGTGAACCCCCAGGTTGAGAACTGCTGGCCTAGGGAATAACAAATCCTATAAAATGGTTGGGTGCTAAGTCTAAATGCAATGTCTAGAGCAGTGCTGCTGTGCTAACAGCCTGGTTCCCTCAACTCTATCCTGCTATACAAGAGGGAATTTTCAATCTTATCTAAATCATTGCATTTGCAGACTCTTTGCTACATAATTTTGGCTAATTTACCTTCTATTTAAGCATTTGAGCTTTGTAGTCTCTAGGCAACACTTTCTAAATTACACACACACACACACACACACACACACACACACACACACACAGATATCACACACACACACACACAATACACACATATGAATGCACACTCAAAGGAAAATAACCCAACACCATCTATACTGCCTAATTTTTAGTCAACCTGACACAACCTAGTCATGAGATATAAGGGATACTCAATTGAGAAAATGCCTCCGGAAGATCAGGCTGGAGGCGAGCCTGCATGGCATTTTCTATATGAGTGATGTATAGGGGAGGGCCAGCCCATTGTTGATAGTGCCATACCCAGTGGTCCTGGGTTCTTTAAGAAAGTAGGCTGACTACAGAATAGGAAAAGGTCTTTACCAACCCCACATTTGACAGAGGGATGATCTCCAAAATATACAAAGAACTCAAGAAACTAGATATTAAAAGATAAATAATCCAATAATGGGATACAGATCTAAAAAGAACTCTCAACAGAGAAATCTCAAATGGCTGAAAGACAATTCAGGAAATGCTCAACATCAGTAGTCATCAGAGAATTTGCAAATTGAAACAACTCTGAGATACAATTTTACACCTGTCAGAATTGCCAAGATAAAAAAACAATGATGACAGCTTATGCTGGAGAGGATGTGAAGTAAGGGGAACACTCCTCCATTGCTGGTGGGAGTGCAAATTTGTACAGACACTTGCACAGCACTTTGGAAATCAGTATGGTGGTTTCTCAAAAAATTGGGAATCAATCTACCCAAGACCCAGCAATACATTGGTCATGACAAATCACATGCCAGACTCAAAATCAGAAGCTGCCTTTAAATATGGGACTCATACCATTACTATTTTTGTGGAATACATCAAGATACTATTTAGAGTTTGGTTCTTAATCTTCCTAATGCGGTGACCCTTTGATTAGTTAGTTCCTCATGTTGTGGTAACTCCCAACCACAGTTTTTGTTTTTTGTTTTTTGTTTTCAAGACGGGGTTTCTCTGTAGCTTTGGAGCCCATCATGGAACTAGCTTTGTAGACCAGGATGGCCTTGAATTCACAGTGATACATCTATTTCTGCCTCTTGAGTCCTGGGATTAAAGGTGTGCACCACTACCACCTGGCATAAAATTATTTTGTTATTGAAGTAACTGTAATTTTGCCACTGTTATGAATTATAACATAAATATGTTTTTCCATGGTCTTAGGCAACCCCTGTGAAAGCACCCTTCGACTCCCAAAGGGTTCTTGACCCACAGGCTAAGAATTGCTGATTTAGAGGATCCCAGGGGCATACACCCTTTAAATGGTATCCACCATGTAGGACTATGCTGTTACTCAAACTACTTTGAAACTGGAAAAAAAAGGAAGTAGGCTGAGTAAACCATGAGGATCAAGCCAATAAGCAGCACTCTTGCATGGATTCTTTATCAACTCTTGTCTCCAGATTCCTGCCCTGTTTGAGTTCTTGTCCTGACTTCCTTCGATGAGGAACAGTGATATGGAAGTGTAAGCCAAACAAATATTTTCCTTCCCAACTTGCATTTTAGTCATGGTGTTTCATTACAGCAATAGAAACCCTAAGACACTATCTTTATCTATTGTGCAATATGAATCTTACTGCTTCAGCTAGTCCCCCATAGCCTAAAAGGTATCATCAATACCTTCTTTTTCCTTTCCTTTCCTTTCCTTTTTATTTTTTCTGAGACGTAGTTTCTTTGTATATCCCTGAGTGACATAGAACAAGCTCTATAGACCAGACTGGTCTTGAATTCAAGAGAGATTCATCTGCCTCTGCCTAGAATTAAAGTGTGCCTGGGACTAGAGTGCTGAGATTAAATGCATGTACCACTACCATCTGGCAATACCTTTCTCATATGTATAATCCCATCCTCTATGCTTAACCTTATATCCTGTATTTGCCTTCACTTGCATCTTGTGTTCTGGTTGCACTAGATATTACTTGGAGGCACCTTGTGCAAAAGAACTCTATGCTCACACTCCAGCCAAATGGAATGGTCTTTCACTCTCTTCCACATTTTACCCTCTCCCATCCATGGTATAATTCTTTACAATTTAGACCAGAAAATACAAAGAAGCTTTTCTACCCCTACACAGAACAACTCTCTCCTTCTGCTATATTTCTTTTTTCTGTTTTTTCTGCTATACTTCTATATCACTTCATTAAACTTCATATCTCCCCAAGCTATTAGAATTTCTTTATTTTTTGAGACAGAGTCTCACTATATAGCCCTGGCTAGCCTGGAACTTGTTATATAGACTAGGCTGACCTGAACTCAGAGATCTGACTGCCTCTGCCTCCTGGGTATATGGAATAAAGATGTGTACCACCACATCTGGCCCTATTAGGATTTTTAATATGTCTGATCTCATAGTTAGAATTATGTTTCAAAGGAAAAGTACCTTGTGTATTTTCATACCTTTGGCAGTTAGCATATGACTTGGATCACATCTGATGAATGTTGAAAAGACAACAGAAGAATTTAACAGGTCACATAATCACAAACACTACACACAATTATTCTTACCTATTCAGTGCAAATGCATAGTGGAATTTAATGTTGTGTTGATCAGCCAAATCACATGTAGGTAGCATCTTCAGTGTTTCTACTAGCTTGACCATCGCATCATAGTCCTGTTGGCACAACATCTCAGAGTGTGAAAAAGAGGAAACAGCTCTTCATAGATTTTTCTGAATAGCTACAAACATAAGACAGCCTCCAAATTTAAAGATAAACCTTTCCTTACTGATAGTATTTAGTAAAATTAATTGTAGCATTGACAGGTACAGAGAAATATATAAAAAAGAAGATAAATGAGACAGAGGGCACAAAAGGATCAATAAAACATTTGTTAAATCCAACAACAAGAGCACAACTGAGCCTAGTAACAAGGAAGCAACAAGGAAAAAGATGTTACGTGCTAAATGTGGAAGGTTTAATACCAGCAGCAGAACCATAAACAAGAAAACTTAGTCACTTTCCAATGCAAATGGAGAAAGCATCTTACTCCTTCCTATTTTGCCTAAATAAAATTAATCTAAGCTAGAATTTCTCAACTGTTGATATTCTAGGCTTTTATCTTTGCTCTGGGATGCTGTTCTGTGTATTGCTGGATGGGTAGCTTCATCCCTACTATAAGTCACAAGTATCCCTGCCCTACAGTCAGTTTTGACAAATTAGAATGTCTCTTCAGACAATGTCAAATACCCCCATGCTAAGAAATACTGTCCCAAATGCTTCATGAATTACCTAAGGGGTTAAATTGTTACCATGTGTGTCTCCATTGGGTTCCATTTTAGTAGTGCCACCAACAGTTACCCATTTAGCTAGGCTTAGAAATACTGGTATTGGCCAACTTGATGCCAGCCAGTCAGCAGAGAGGATCTTCCTACAGAAACCTGACACTTGGCTTAATACTTTGAGGCTGTTGCCTCAGAAAAGAGAAGAAATACCTTCCAGGAACCTTCCAGCTCTTCCTTGGGCTTAAGAGTTCTACCAATGAAAAATTAAGAACTGAAAACATTCAGTAAGGGAAGGGTAGAAGACAGTCAGCAACTCAAAGAAACATTTCAAGAGCAGGGGTGTGGTGGCACACACCTATAATCATTGCATTGGGGAAGCAAAAGCTGGAGCATTGGGAGTTCAAGTCATCTTCAGCTAAACGGCAAAGTCAAGAGTCAATGGGTTACAAAAGACCCTGTCTCCAAATAACAACAACAAAAGCAAAGCCAAAAAGAAATACGTCTAGAAAAATCAATCACATTTTCTTGTTGCATAATACCACCTGTCATTAAAAGCAGGTAGCTTATTAGTCACTCAGGCCATGGATTCCTTAGTAGCTGACTCTGTTCTGGGTTCAGACCATAAATGGATTCTCTCTCCATCATTCAGAACTGTGATCAACAACTGCTAGTGCAGCTTTGTAGTATTCTACAAGTAAAGTATGTTATCCTTTGTGCCTCTAGAAGGAAGAGGCGTAAGATACCCTTAAAATTAGTCCAAATTTGAAGAGAAATCCCCAGTTTCCCTTCATGGTTCCAGACCTCAGAACCCGAGTCTCAAAATTTTCCAGTAACTTTAGATGTCTATATTAGAATAAGCATCTGCTTCCCCAGTTCCTTAATGTAGCCCAGCTACTTCTCTCACTGAAGAGTGGTGGTAAAAAGAGAAAGATGTGACAAAGGCATAAAGGAAATGCTGGAAGCATTGAAAACAAGGGCAATGGAACTAGTCAGCCTTTGTCTGAATCCTGACTTTCCCCTACTCTGTGAATCTGAGCAGGTTACTTAATTTCTGTGCCTCAGATTTCATTTGTAAAATAGAAACAATAAGAGCAAACCTAAACCATAGGGCTAAGAGGACTAATAAATCGGGATTTAGGAAAGACTTGCAGAGTATTACCTAAAATAAAATATATGTAAAATGTTAAATTCTTTGTTTCTTATTTTAAGCACAATAGGGGCTCTTGGCATGCTTACTTCAGCTCTAATATGACAAAACTACCTTTAAATCGTCTATTAAAGCCCATCACCAGGCCACATACCTATTTAGGTAGAGCAGTCTCTTAATCACACCCCTGATGCAAGTAAGTATACTTTCTATGAGAAATTCCATGTAACAAAGAAAAGTCAGGCATATGTTAGCCTCACCTAAGCACACTTCATACCTGGATATCACGGTAGGAGAGGAGTAAGTTAATGATAATGTCCGATGTCAGAACCTCAATATTATCCATGCGGAATTTGATCCGAGTCAACTCTTTTGCCAGTTCATCACCCTGGTATTTTTCTCTGGCTTTCCGGATGTCATTTAACAAGGTTTCTTTGTAATAAGCACTGAAGAAGAAAACAAAACCCCCAATTACATACCTGACTCTCACAATTTTTTTTTTTTTTGGTTTTTCGAGACAGGGTTTCTCTGTGTAGCTTTGGAGCCTATCCTGGCACTCGCTCTGGAGACCAGGCTGGCCTCGAACTCACAGAGATCTGCCTGCCTCTGCCTCCCGAGTGCTGGGATTAAAGGCATGTGCCACTGACGCCCAGCTCCAAGACTCTCTTGAGTGCTCAAACAAGTATGGTTCTCAATAACACACAGGGACCTTGGCCATCCTTGAATCTTCCTATAACAGTAAACATAATATCTGCTTTTTTGCATACTATAGCAATAAACTAGTAATAAAAATTCAGCTTAATACAACCTTAAAATATCTTCAAAGCTTAACTTTCATACAGTCTAGAGAATTTTCAACACAACTCCCTAAGAATTATGTAATTTACACACACACACACACACACACACACACACACACACACACACACACAGCATAAAGTACATTTACATGATTATTTAATTTTCCCTACTATCAAAACATTATCAAAAGCTAAACAAAACTTCAAAAGACATGAAACCTAGGCAAATTCATTTAAAAGCATTTTAATCTACTAAATTTTCCCAGTTAGTGGTCATGAAGCTGTTGCCAGGTGAAGGAGAATGGAAACTAGTGATGTATCGTTGAGCAATCCAAGAAATGGTACACAGAAGCCATGCCAGGAAGATTACAGACAACTGTACCTTCCATCCTTAGGTTTCCTTATTATTTTTCTGCAAAAATGTTTTCCAATATAAAATAAAAAATTCTCTTTTGTGGGCATCTAAACAAAAAGAGAGTATGTAAAAACATTTAAAACAGTGTAAATCTACCCTGATATGTCATCATAGCCTGTCATAAGCCTATGTTAGTATGTGGTACTTCATTTAAAACTTAAAAAAAGTCCTCATTTAGTGGTATAGAAGCCAACTTACAATGATAACCACAGATTGATTTAAGTACCTTGTATATTTTCCAAATAATTTTAAATAGAGGTTGAGCATTACCAAGAAGTAATACTATCAACCCATTATTGCGCTTCTCACTTGGGAAAGAGTAAATCAATTCTAGAGAAAGAAATATAACCGATAAAATAAGAACAAATAGTACTTAGTCTGAATAATTATAAAGTAATGGCACATAAATGTGCACACAGTACAAAGCCTAGTCCGACCAATGCTCCTAATAAGACCTCAATTAACATTTAAAGAATGGAGTGATAGTCTATAAAATGGTTTTGATATAAAAATACCAGTGCACTTCTTTCCTTATTTGTCAACTGCCATTACACTAATGATGAGCAAATTATAGATTCTGCCAGTGTTTAAAACTCTGTTATTAACTGAATGAGTCATTAAGTTGGGTGACATCCATTGCCCATTCAGCAGACTATAAAGGCATCAAAGCTATTAAGGTGTTACTAATTTGGCCTGACAAGTAAAAAGTTATACTTTAGTCTTGTTTTCAAGGGTAACTGAAAAATCACTTTAAAAAGAAAATACAATATGCACAGTAACTTTTTGCAAATGGAATTATGGCTGGCATGTTGGGGATATCAGATATGTACTAAGTATGTAGCCATTTCTTCATCTGGTCACAAGGGAGGATGTTGCTAATCTCTGGGGACTCAGAAATGGTTTCTAAGTGCTTTCTAGCACAAGACTCAAGATAGAGATAATAAATCTTCGAGAGTTGGTACTTGAGCTAAAATCTTACCTGCCATCCCTGTTATAGAGGTTTTCAAACATAAGCACCATTGACCCTCTCATTGATGATTGACAGACACCAGTCACAGGACAGAATTCACCAATAGGTATTTTGAGCCTTTGGGAATTAAAACAAATGCCTCCAAAGTTTGTTTTCCCAATACATGAATTTACTGAATGAGAAACAAACTTGAATCTATTTCTTACAAAGACATTTGATTCCTCTGTCAGATTCAAGTTAAATACCTCTTTGTTAGACCTACAAATACACTATTAGGAGAGGTTTCTAAAATTCACTAAAATCTTTCCTTTGAAGTAAGACAGTAACTATCAAAGTGTCAAAGAAACCCCTATTTGTTCTCTGTTGATGCTGTTTGGGTTTCTAGACTTCTTTCCCACTAAAGTGTGCATCTCAAGGAAAGGCAACAGGACGGAAAAGGTGTGAAGGATGTAACAAGTGTAACCTTCATGCCAATACTTTAACAGTAACCCTCTACGGTTCAGGGTGCCATGATCTGAGCCAAAGTATGACATGAGGTCCTTGACATTTCATTACAAGTCAGTTCTGCCAGTCCTTTGGATTTTCATTTGTTTTGGAAGAACAAATCCTTCTTATGACACAACTCACAGGAATAAATCCTTTAAATTGGCTGTGAGCAAAACAACAGGGATCCTCTAGTTAAGAATCATTTCCTGCCTTTAACTTTCCAACTAGCAACACTGTAGGTACAGTTTATTTAGCACTAAGGTTCAAAGAGGGGAAGTGACTTTTCCAAGGCTACCCAGGCAAGCAATCACCTAAACCAGAATTCATACTCAAACCTGTCTGCCTCTGAGTGGACACCACCATACCCCATGACGTAAATCTACAGATAACATGTCACAAGACATCCTGAGGTCAGGTTGGCTGAAGTTTGACTCAATGCATGCTTATGACAAGAACTTAAGGTCAGAATGACCTTGCTCTGGCATTTTGAGAACCTGAATAACTGAGAGTATAAAATTATGTTCAGAAACTATCTGTAAACACAGAATCTTAGAATTGAAAGAGATCATTAAAAATAACCACAGAGTTAACTTCCCTGTTTTATAAAGAAAAGAGCCATAGAGAAGAAGAGTTACATATCAAGATCACATAAGGAAACATGGTTAGTCCCAGGCCCAGTTATGACTATGCCCTTTTCTGGCTTCATCTCAGGAAGTCAGCTTAGTGAGGCACTAAGGGGGTAATGATGGATTCCAAGATGTTTAAGTAGATCGTCAATGACCCCTATTCTCTGGGCAACCTGGTCACTTCAAAGTATACCACCTCCCTGAAAATAAAGGGAAATTTTCTGTAAGACTTTCAGGATTTTTAGTGGCTGGTGGAAATTACCATGAGGTCACACGAATGTCCTTAAGGAGGCTAGTGAACTTGTCCACCAGGGGCATACATAGTGGGCCCAGGATGGTGTCCCAGTTGGGCTGCATGTACTCTGAGGCTCTCCTTTGGGCATCACTCTCGCAGCAAAAATAATCAGCACATGGTGTCACAGTGTAAGGGATGAAATAATAATTTCCACTAGATGCCTGAAAAAAAGAAACAATAAGTATTTTAGAAAGCAAGTGATACAGAAGCACAGCTACAGCCCTGAACAGGCAGGCCTGGTAGGACATGGAAGGAGAAGATGCACAGTATGAACAATACTTTGTGTGATTTTCATCTCAAACCTATTAGGCTCAAAACAGGAAATCATTCAATTTCAAAATCATTACCACCTGTGGATGCCTCTGAATTTCACTGGTAAAAATGTTAAAGATTTTTAAATTTTAGAAACTATGTACATTCACTGTCTGTCCTCCAAACCACCAGGAACTTAGACCCCTTGATAACCAAGGATTATAAAATGGCATATTAGTTTTTATTCTAAATTAAAAATTCATATTATTTGATATTTAATGCAGGTACTGTTAAATTTTTGACTAGAAATGACAAGAAGCACATTAATAAATGATTACTTTCAAAGGTTTTATGAAAGAATCTGTTGAAATTTTTCACACCATTAAGCAATACTCATGTAAAGCAACATCTTTTGTTCTATAGAATAATTATAGTTGACTGAATCATGATTCTTTGAAAAGCAAAATCATTACCTTTAAAAGACACACTATGTACTCAATTTTTAGCACACTGAAGTCTAAAAAATACATTCTTCATGACATTCTTATACTCAGTCTTCTTTGTAAGTATACATAAATATATAAGTATACAAATAAATTTGACATACATATATAATTAAATAGGATGGAGACGAGTGCCCTAACTCTGGGAAAATCTTTTGAAAATACTGGAGGTTGTGCCAGAATAGTTTTCATCTTATTGAATTGTTGGCCAAATGGTTCTCATGGACCACTCCAACACATCGCAGGAGATTGCCAAGGATATTGGTTGCTTTCTAGAACCTGATGGTAAGGCCATATTGCTGAAGACAACACTTACTTATGTCATCAAACATGGAGAAGTCAAGCTGATACCCAACTAGAAACTTCATACTTACTGAGTAGCATTTATTTTGCTGGAAGTTACTCTGCATGGCAGCAGAGGAGTCAAGTAAGCATCAGTGTCACCAAGCTACAAACACTGCAATCTACAATGTGACCTGCCTGCAAGATATACTGATATAAAGGTGTCATAAATGTTATTGTAGTAACCATCCACTTTTTGATTGGATTTAAGTTTTACTCCATGATATGGAACCCACACCTGACACTGCTAAAGCAGCCAACAACCTGAGACTAGACTGGCCATCAACCTAGGGGAAAACCTACTAAAGAAACATAGCAATAAAATGACTCCTAATGACATACTGCAATGCCCATAGATGAATGTCACACTCAACCCTCATCAAAGAAGATACTATTTGTAGTAGATGGGGACTACCACAGAGACCCACAACTGGACAGTATACAGAAAGTGAGAGACTTTGGAGCATCCAGTCCTAAATGGATGTTTTTATCAAACTCCCTCCCTTAATGCTCAGGGACACAGAAGAGAAGGCAGAAAGATTGCAAGAGTCAGAGGTGGTGGATAACTTCAAGAAACAGTGACTTCCAGACACAACAGAACGAATACACTTATGAACTTACAGAGACTGTAACAGCATGCATAGGATCTGCACAAGTTCAAGAAAGAAAGGGTCCCAGAGCACTGAGAGGGTTCTGGACACAAAGTAACACCCCTAACCAACTAGCTATTTGCAATTGATACCTGCTGTTAAAGGGGAATCAATTTTAATATTGTATCACTGGGTATATCTCAACCACACTCCATAGCAGGCCAATGCCCAGAAGTAGTTGGCTAAACAAAATGAACTCCTTGTGCTCTTCTATGGTTTTCTTGTTTTGTTTTGGCATTTTAAAAAATATCTATTTTTATTTTGTGTTCACTGGTGTTTGGTGTCAGAACTGGAGTTACAGTTGTGAGCTGCCATGTGAGTGCTGGGAATTGAACCTGGGTCCTCTGCTAGAGCAGCCAGTGCTCTCAACTGCTGAGCCATTTCTCTAGCTCCTCTTGTTTTAGCATTTTGTATTAATGATTTTTTTGTATTAATGATTTTTATTAATTGTTTGGATTCTTTTTAGAAAGAGAAAAAATGGAGCATGAAGTTAGGTGAAGAAGGAGGGAAGATTTGGGAGGAGTTGGGGAGGAGAAAAGACTTTTATATATAATGAAAAAATTGTAAATAAATAAATACCTATGTGGCATTAAGCAGGGAGAAAAACAAAATGCTGGAGGTTTAGTTGAATGCAAATCCAACAGGAACTAAGACTAAGTAGGGATGCTCAATAAGCTACTGCTACACCAGGTTATACTAAAAATATCTAGAAAGGAAACAGACTCATTTTGGGTTAGTTCGATTACATTTAGATCATTATCCCAGATGCAAATCAGACTGACTGTCACCAAGCTGAACATAATTAATTTGAAACTAAGTTTCATGGAGCCCTTGTTGGTCTTAAACTTACTGTGTAGCTCAAGGTGACCTTGAAATCCCGATCTTCATCTTCCTGCTTCTACTTCCCAACTCCTGAGATCACAGGCATGTTCCATCAGCCCTTCATGTGCTCAATCTGTTGTTTAAACTTTTCAGTGAAAAAATAGCTTATAAATTTATACCTTAATCTCCAATAGCCCATAAACTAGGTGTGGTGGCATATGCTTGTAAACTCAGCCCTTTGGAGTTAGAGGTACGGGGATCAGAAGTTCAAGGTCAGCCCCAGCTCTATAGCAAGTTTAAGGTTAACTTAAGACAGATGGATATCCAATCCCTGAAAAATTAAACAAATACCCATATTTAAACTTGAATTTTGAAAGAATTTATATGGCATGGGAAACTATTCACCTCTCTTTTTCAATTTTTAAATTAAAGTAATAGAAGTATCCAGGAATTTGGACATAGTGAAGATACAACAACAGAATGTACTTTTGTGGGGTTGGGGAGATTGTTCATTCAGTATAGTGCTTGCTGCACAAGCATGAGGACCTCAGTTAGGACCCACAACACCCAAATAAAAGTCAGACCTGGGCTTGTCTATAATTCCAGCGCTGAGAGGCAAAAACAGGCAGATCCCTAAAGCTGACTGAACAACCAGCCTAGGTAAATAGATGATCTCCATGTTAAATGAGAAGCCGTCTCAAAAATGAGAATGGTAATTGAGAAAAATAACTGACATCAACCTCTGGTATTCATGTGTGTGTACATAAGCATATACCTACATAAACATGCTTATATCACACAAAGTAATTTTTAAAGTACATTGTGTTCCCAGTAAGGCATCAAATAAGGGATAAGACTTCTTTTAAGTTGAAAATATCTCTCAAATGTATGAATTATAGAGAAAATTGTCACAATATCATGATATAAGATCAAGCAGAAAATTTTACAACTTACAAGATTTCCTTCTGAATTAAATCTGCTTGATGGACATATAGGTCACATTCTTTTCTTCTATTTTAATTTAAAATATAATTGTCCTGGAATTCTCTTTTTGGACCTTGTGGGCTCTGTCATATCACATTTTGAACTTTAAAATAATCTGCTAAAAACAATTACAAATACTGCCTCACTAAAGCCTATTTTAAAGTAGGTGAGCTTTATCTTGGGGACTAGATGATCATTATTTTTGGCTTTTCAGAATTCCGAGTATCTTTTTCAATTACTCTACTCAGCTATAGGAATGTGGAAGCTGACAAAGGCCATCCACAAACACAGGAGCAGGGGCCATGAGCCAGTATAATTTTATGTATGGATACAAATTCAAATTTCACACTTGTGTATGTCATAAATTAATTATTTCCTAATATTTTTTAAATGTTAAAAAAACAACCATCCCTACCGGACGTTGGTGGCACACGCCTTTAATCCCAACACTCGGGAGGCAGAGGCAGGCGGATCTCTGTGAGTTCGAGGCCAGCCTGGTCTCCAGAGCGAGTGCCAGGATAGGCTCCAAAGCTACACAGAGAAACCCTGTCTCAAAAAACCAAAAGAAAAAAACAAAAACAAAAAAACCCCAAGCATCCTTTTGTCTGGAGAGATGAGTGATTAAGTGCACCAACTGTTTTTGAAGAGGACCCAGGATCAATTTGCAGCACCCATGGCAGTTCATAACCATTTGTAACTCCAATTCCAGGTGATCCAACACCTGCTTCTGGACTCTGTGGCAACATATATGGCACATACATATAGGCAAATACTCTTACACACAAAATGAAAATAATTTTTTTAAAGAATGAATCCTTAGCTCAGGGGCTATAAAAAAAAAACAGGTATGAGGTCTAGCTTGTCTCAGACTAAGTCTTCAGATGCTCCATTAACCATGAAAATGAGCTTCTCTGAGAATAATTACCCTGCTGTGACACAGCAGCTGGAAACCATCCCTGAGGGTACCAACTATTGGATGACATTAAACCCCTCAAAACTAAAGTGCCAATATTATAAATAGAAAGGGCAAAAGTTCATGCATGTGGATAATGACTGCAGAAGGGTGGCACATAACAACTTTACTATCACTAGGAATTGCCTGCACCAGGGAATGAAAGACCCTTCCCTCTCTCTAATACTTTGAAGTTCTCAGAGATTAAATTGCTAAGCAAACTAAAGTTTTGGTGGGTTAGAGACAAAGTTTTTCCTCATTCATGCCAGGAAATCCATGTCGCTAAAGAAAATTAAATTAAAGCCCATTTGCATATTAAAAGTTGAAATGTTTTTTGAACTGAAATTGGTGGTTATGGTAAAGACCTTCAAATTTCAGATTAAAGGAGAAAAACTCCAAGTGCATTGGTGAGGTACAGAAGACAAAATATGTTTGAAGAATTATAGCTTTTTAAGGGTATTTGTGTCAAACTAGAGGTGTCCCAAGCACCTTAGAGCCCATCTCCATAAAATTACTGTAACTGATTAAAACCATTTAAAGTTTCTGTAAAAGATTGTATGGACATGTAAGAAACAGAAAAATACCGTTCAAGAAACCCCACTAAATAGTATTAAGAAAAGCAAAATTCTGGAGCATCTGAGCCATAATCTGTCCAGCCTCAAGTAATAGAAATATTACTCTAGTGTAGCCAAGAAGTTGGGATTCTCTCCATCTCTGAGTCTAGGATGACACCATGTCCTGGCGTTGTAGGTGCTCTAATCCTAACAAGTATGATCAAAAGGAAAGCTCTATCCTAGGGAAAAAAGCAAAACACTATGTTCTGATTGCTTTTATCCATGCTTACTCAGAAGGTAAAGATTCTATACCAGGAGACACAAACCAAGAAAAGACCCAAGACTGCCACCTCTACCCTGTGCATCACGCATAGAACAGGGTATTAGCCCAAGAAAAGTTACTGTCTCCATTGTCTGCTCCAGAGCATCAATATAGTGTAGTGTCTGAGGAAGAAGTGGCTACAAGGACAGTTTCTCAATAGGGAGCTGATTTTATGAGTAATACAACATGGGAAATTTCAAGTCTATGGACACTATTAAAAAAGAGAGATTGGTGGCAAGAGGTAGATCAGGTTTAAGTTTTTCAGAGAGCAAGCTACTGAAAGAGACAGCTAAAAGGAACCTTCCTGAGGTTAGAACAGACTACAAGGACTGGACTTGTGACTGAGGGCAGAGGAAGATGGTGGCAGGGGTGGGGGGTGAGGTATTTTCATAATAAATAAT